CCTCATTTCCCACCATGATCTGTTTTGGGTATTCTAAGCTAACACGGGAACTATCCATGCACCTTCAGCCTAGGATCTCATGCTCCTTCCTCCTACATGCTCTTCTCTCTCTACATCCCTTCGTGTCTGGCCAACCTCTCTTCATCTTTAAAGATTCTGGTCAAGCATCACCTCCTGCAGGAATCTCTCCTAGACATCACCAGCAGAATTAGGAGCCTGTCCTCCAGCCCTCTCCCCATACCCTGCTTTTCCCCATCACTGTCTTTCTCATCGAGATTTCAGCCAACTGTCCCCATCAAAGAGTGATCTGGGACCTATCTCATTCATCTTTGGATCTGAATGCCTCGAACCATTTCAATGAAAACTCTAAATAAACTTATTGGAGTGATACGGGAAGCCCCTGAGACTGTTCCTGGGGTACCTCCTGCTTCACACTGTTCTAGTCCATCCCCTCCTCTCTGCCAAGTACACCTCCACTGACACATGCCATCACTGTGGGCAGGCATGTTGCGGGCTCGGTGGGGAAGGCTCTGACTTGGGCAAAATGAATCCAAACCCGACAGCCTCCCCAAATAGTCATCCTCCTCATCTCCACTGCTCAAACACAGCACTGGGGTGAGAGGCCATCCACATGGTCCAGTTGATGTGAATTCACTTGTCACTCCATCCACACTCCCACTTGTCATGGGATTTGTGCCAAGAGACAGATTCTGATGATTTCTAAACAGATGCAGTAAACATGCTCGAATGCACTTCTGCAACTAATACACCATGTGTCTGGGACCAAGGGCCTTGGGTAAGCAGGTGATAATAAACATGAACTTGGAGGCTCTAGAACACCCACTGGAGATGGTGCACACCTCTGTACTTCTCTCCATATCACTCACACGTGCGGGAAGCTGCTGTGTTCTTCAAACTCTCTAAAGGAAGAGATTCCTTAGCCAGGTACCAGCGCCCTGTGTGTGGGGTGTGGTTCCCCTTTATGTCTAGCCTTCTTCTCTCCTGGGGTAGTTCTAGTTGCACTCGCCTTGCCGGTTGTCCAGGGAGAGCTGGTGGGCAGCCCTGCACACACACCCACTGGGTGCCTCCCCCTTTGCACACACTCTTCCCCCAGAGCTGCACAGGTCTGCAGGACGAGCCCTGAGCCCTGGCACGGAGACACGGGCGCAGGACCGCTACACCCCCATGAAGAAATCTCACGCTTACCCTGGTGCGGTGCTGTGAACAATCATTTTCACTCTTAGCAGTCAACAGATGACTGGCTTAGTTTCATTTTCTGTACGGGGGAAGCCAATCTCCTTGAACAAGAAGGGGGTTACTGGGACACAAGCTGCTGTACCTGAATGAGCCTAATAATAATCACTCCTGAGGGTGCCTGGCTGGCTTAGTTGGTAGAGAGGGTGATTCTTGATCTCCGGGTCGTGAGTTCAAGCCCTGTGTTGGGCCTAGAGCTTACTTAAAAAAAAAAAAAATCACTTTTGGTCCAAACCAGCTAATGCTCGCCTCCGGATTCCCCCAGCCACGAGGACTTCTGCTCAGTGTTACCCGTGGCCCCAAGGCAGGTGGCCTGACAATCCATGGCACCTTCTATCACTGCCTTGGTGGCTGGGGCCCTGCCACCCTGGCATTCCACTCTCCCGGCTGGCCTGGCCCACCTTCTGCTCCTCCTGACCCTTTGTGTAGCCTCACCTCACCCCTTATTCTCATGCCTCCAGCCTCCCGCCCTGAGGCTTCCTGGGGCTGCTGCGATGCAGGAGTGAGCAGGGCCTCCCGGGAACCAGGCTGCACGGGCTCGTCCAGCCGCAGGCAAGGCCGCGGGCAGGGAGGTGGGTCAGTGTCTCACGCCCATCCACTGTGGCTTGCTCTAGGGGTGTGTCACTGTTACCTCAGGATCTGACTTCTCTGAAGGAGGCCCCAGGGTTCTGGGGCACAACCCAGAAGCATAGGGGAGGTGACACTCCATGGAGTGAACCTCAGCCAAGGAGAAATGAGACTCAGCACAACCGGAAGGGGATGAACTGAAACTGAAGCTCAGGTCTGTCTAGCATCAGGATCTGTGTCCTCTGAGACCATGAGCGCTAAAGTCAGAGAGACCTGGGCTTCAGTGCTGACGCTCCACTTACCAGCTATGTGATCTTTTAACCTCTCTGAGCCTCGGCTTTCTCATCCGTAGAAGCGACAGATTTAGGGGTGGTGGGCTCAGGAGTTTCTTCCAGGTGGGACATTCCAGGGTCTGCTGTTGCAGCCTCTAAAATGTCCCTGTGTGACTTGGGGAGGAGGTCATGCAGAACAGATCCAGGCTTTGGGACTAACTTTAAACCGAGGGGAACATCTTGGCAGACATATCAAGGCACTGAACCAAGGGAAAGTGGGGTCCCAGCAGCACCCACTCTTGCCCAGGACCAACCCCAGTGGCGTTCAGACAGACTCCGGGCTGGAATGCTCTTTCTATTCTTCCGACACCAGCCCCGACATCACTTCCCAAGGGAAGCCTTCCCACCCCTGCCCCGTTGCTTCTCAAGACTGGATCCCACTGCCCTCAGATGCGTTCTCATAGCTCCTTCGAATGTGCCTCCCTTGCACTTATGGTGGAAATTATATAGTAATATGATCCTTCATCAACATCTGTCTCTCACTGGTAAGATTCATGGGGGAGTATCTGTGTTCGTTTTGTCCCCACTATATCTCCAGCATCTGGAATAGCAGAAGGTATATAATAAATAGTTATGGAATTAATGGTTTAATTAACTAATTAATTAATATTATGTAGCCAAGTCTTGAGGAGACCAAAGCAGCAGTGTTTTGGCTTGAAAGACGACCTGGGATGAATTTTAAGATCCCTGGCTGATGGCCTAAGTCATTCAGTATGGAACCGCGTGTCCTTGAGCCCCAGACTCCTCTCCTCTCCCTGCCAGCCCATGTCACAGCTCCTTAGGGGGCTGATAAGGGGATTGGCTCTACACTAACTCTGGCATCCCTGAAGTCACCCTACCAGTCACCAGGCAGCCCAAGGGGGTTGAAGAAACGGGCTCAAGGTGACCACATCTGTCGGGAAGAGTAGAAGGAAAAGGCTCAGCAGCTTAGCTTTCTGGGGTTTAACCAGTGGGCTCCACAGTGAGATGCAAACCAGAAAACTGTTCCAGCAGGGGCTCTGGGACTGAACAGAGGAGCGACACTTCCTTTTGTGCTGCAGCAAGGGCATCGTCAGCAGGGTGGGCTCGAGTCTCAAAGAGAGCAGACAGCTCTTGGAAGAAATCACTCTCACCCCCTGCCCTTGTGAGATGCTCCCAGAGCTCCTTCTAGGCCTTCTGTTGATTGATCAGTCCTCTGTGGGCAAGCCTCTCCCTGTGAGCAAGGCCTCACTTCGGAATCAGCTCGCCCTGGAGCATCCACAGTTCTCTGCATGAGTCTCGCCATGTACCCCACCAGGTCATTGCAAATGCTGTCTATCCTGCCAGGCAACACTTTCTAAGCACCCCTCCTCCTCAGCTCTTAAATATCTTCCCATGCTCCTGTCCAGATAGAACATTTCACGACGCACTGCCAAGGACTGCTTTTTTTTTTTTTTTTTAACAGCCTGACTAACGTTTTTATCCTTTAAGACTAGGACGGCAAAAATTTGTCTCATGTCCCACGTGTGGCATGTAGGAAGGGTTAAAATCATATTAATTCTAGAGATCAAGGGCAGGGGAAAAAGAAATAAAAAAGAAGGAAGGAAAGAAAAGAAGAAAGCCAGGCTGAAGGGGAGGGAGCTGTGGAGGGAGGGAGCATCAAAAGGAAGGGGGCAAGGAAGGGCCTGGACTGAAGGATACCTTTCTTGGTTACATCACAGTCCAGCTGCAGTGGTGGGCGGCGGTGGGAAAGAACGTGGGCCCTGGTGTTAGACAGATCTGGGTTCAAATCCCAGCCCCGTCTCATACAAACCTGCGGCTTCAGACAAGCCATTCAAGCCCTCTGAGCTTCAGATGGCTCGTGATGGCTCGTTTGTAAAATGAGGGTAACAACTAGCTAAAAGGTATGTTTAAAGAGGATTAGAGATAATGTATGTAAAGCACCCTGCATGTTGGCATTCAGAGGGAAGCTGGAGGAGCCCTGCAGGGGCTCCTTCTGCACTTGGAAAACACAGAGGGGGAGAGGGATTGGTTCAAGGTCACGCTAAGAAGCCGGGTGGGAGCTCTCGGCAGGGAGTGTCTGCCTGCAGGACCTGACCACAAAAACTCCGTTATAGAAACATGGACAGTGAATCAGTAATGATTTAATTATTTTTTACAGGTGTTAATAGTGTGTACCAAGAAAACAAGAGATTTCCCCCTGGAAGAACTTTCTCTATCCTTGCTCTAACCCAACAGATGACTGACATTCTGTGATGCTCACCTACATTTTAACCAAGTCCCTACATTCACCCTGGAAACCTACAGCCTGTCCAAGTGCACCTTGGCTCTGGGTCTGTGAGAGCACATTAACAAGAGCAGGCAAGAAGACAAAGAGCAACAAGAGAACCGTAACCATGACCCACTGCTCTGACAGTCCAGCCCTTTCCCCCTATTATTTTACCGTATCTCCCCTGACGGCACCTCTCCAGTGGCAAAGTCAACGGATGTGGTGCATTCTACCCTCTCAGGCCTGTCCAAGCTCTGCCAGGGGGTGCTACCGAGCAGGGAAATAATCAGCACACACAAAAGCACCAGGCTCCTCCAGAAATGGACCCCAAACCCTCAAATCCATGTTGCCTGGTCAGCACCTCCATTGCACCTGGGGCAGGTGCTGAGCTGGGAGAGCCACAGGGCAGCGATCACGGTGGTCTTCTTCACCGATGCATACCACCAATGCCTGGCTTGGTGCCGACTCAGAAATGATGTGCACAATGAACGGACAACTACATGAAAAATGCATGATTGCCTGAATACGTGGATGCGTCGTGAGCATACGCCACGACCCTAGGCCCTTCCCTCTCCCTCCCCAGCCCACCTCCAAGGCCAGACCATCTGCCCTTTCCTTACCCTCGTGATCAGCTCCCCGACCATTCCCGTCCAAGTGCCGTTGGCCTCAGGAACGCCGTACACGCCGTCCCCGACCAGGCGGATCTTGTAGTTGAACCGGAGGATCTCTGCCAGCTCCTTGAGCATGTCCACACAGAAGCCCTCATAGCGGTCATTGCCTTCCATCTCCTGGTGGTTCCCCTTCAGCATTAAATACGGGTTTTCCTGCAGCAAAACTGGGCAGCTGTCATTCTCATCTTAGCCCTGGTGTCTCAGCCACAAGGGATGGGGGTGCCAAGGCAGAGGTTGGGGAGGAGGGGGGAGGGGCAGGGAAGTGACTCGGGTGATGGGGGGCTACCCCGGAGGTGGCAAGGAGCGCCCCTCCCAACCTCCAGGCACTTCTCTTACCAGGAACACACAAGGGTCCCAGTGCACAGAGGGTCGAGCTGAAGCCCTTCCACCTTGTTCAAGGTCATCATCTGACCTCACCCCCCATTCCATCCCTTCCCTTTTTCCTTCCTTTTGTCTCCTGCACGCAGACCTACCACAGCGCATCACGAGATACTAGGTTACTGACAACATAGCAGGTGGGGTAAGAACACCCACTGACCAACTGCAACCCAAAGCAGAGCACGTCAAGTCATGAGAACTCCAGGAAGAGGGGTGGGGCTCTCTGGTGAAATGTCCAGAGAAGGTTCCATGGGGGAGGCAGAACCCAAGCTGGGCTCCAGAGGGCGATGGAAGATGGATAGAGCAGGTGTGAACAGAGGCACCATAGGAAGGGGAAACGCAAGACCTAGGGCATGATCCTGAGTGAGAAGGAGCATGGCCTCTTCAGGGGACAATGGATTCTCCATTCAGCTGGAGTGTATGGGGTGGCTGCGAGGATAAATTAGATGACTTAGGGTCTGATGGGCCTTGGAAGCCAGGACAAGGTGGACGCACATCGTACATAGATAGTAGGGAAGCAGGGAGGGTTTGCAAGACTTAAGGGTTAAGAATATCAAATCATAAGACAGACATCTGGGGGTGAGGGCAGACTCTCTCCTGATGTGAGCCACTGAGTCCCGAGCCTAGTTTGGCTCAGGTTGTGGTGCTGGGAGTTGGAAGAGACGCTGAGAGGGTCAGGCTGGACAGCAGGGTGGGTGTGGGGTGCAGAGGGTGGGGGCCCTCACGCTGGTGGAGCATGGGTGGATGACTGAGGCTGGCATCATCGCTCCCAGGGACGGTTTGGAAGGGAAAAGGATCTGGAACAGGTTGAATGTGGGGTGCTGGTAGGCTATCCAGGAGGAAAGACCTGGCTGAATGCTTCAACTGGGGAGTGAGAGCAAGACTGGGCCAGGGCTTGGAGGCCTCTGTAAGGAGGGGAGGGCTGAAGCCGTAGGATACGTGAGGCCACCGAGGGGGAAGCCCTGAGGGAGGACAGAAGAGGGACAAGACCCTCTTGTCCCTTGCTTACACCGTGGGAAGATGAAGAGTAGCCATAGAAGAGACAAAGCAGAAGCAGCCAGAAAAGCTGAGAATCAGGAGAACGTGGCCATGAAAGCCAAGGGGGAAGGAGGTTGGGGAAGGAGCGTGCAGATGTTCCACACAGAGATGAAGCAGGGCTCTGAAGGGGCACCTGGGCCAGGTGTCGCCGGCGATCCTTCTGAGGCAGGTTCAGTGGGGCTGGCAGGACTCTGCAGGAATGGGGAGCAAATGCGAGGTGCACGAGAGAAGGGACCAGAATTCTGAGAAGTTAGGGGATAAAGGAAGGCAGGAAGATTGTCTTTCCTCCTGACGGCTACCAGCCACATCTTCCTCCAGCTTCAGCTCCCCACCTGCAAACCACTGACACCACGATTTATGATCCCCTAAACTGGAGGGTAGCTGGGGGGGGGCAGACGAGCATGGGTAAGGGGGTGGAGATGGTATTGGAGGATGGGAGGGACCCGGGTATATTTGTAGGCAGAGGGGAGGAATCTCGGGGGAAGGAGAGATGAGCAAAGGCAGAGAAGTGCTAGCTGGTGCAGCAAGGTCCCAGGGATGAATGGAAGAAGACAGGGCCAAGGTGAGAGTGATGCTGGGAAGTGGGCCTGGAGGTGAGGTGGAGAGATGGATGGACGTGGATACGGGGCGGGGGGGGCGGAGGGCAGGGGGTCCTGCCCACACCGGCAGCTGAAGTCGGGAGGTTGACTGTAGAGAGGGAGCTGGGAGCAGGGATTGCAAGGACAACCGGGCGTGGGACAGACATGAGGTGGGAGGGCTGAGCGTCACGGTGGAGAATGTGCTAGAAGCTGAGCGACGGAAGTGCTGAAATGATGGTTTGCTGAGCTCATGCTGGGTCGGGGAAGATGGAGAGTCAGACAGACCGGAGGTCATGAGGGGATGGCACGGGAGAGCGATTTTGTGGGTGTGAAATGGGAGAGAAGAAGGCAGAAGGTTGTGTGTCAGGGAGAGGGAGCTCTGAGTCGAAGGTGATGTGGTTCTGCTTCATGACCACGTTCACTGCCGTGTCAGTGAGATGGGCTGGACTCTGCCTTCCATACATGCTATCCGCGGCTCAAGGGTTTCTCTCTGCCCCAAGCACTCTCCCTCCTCTTTTTCTGCTTAACCTAACTCATCTCTGTCCTTGGGACCCCATCACCTCCCCTGGGGCCAACTCACTTCTCAGAACTTCCGCTGCACTCACAGCCAGGGACGCACAGGGTCCAGTTACTCTCTAGAATGTGCTCCCCGGGAGAGCGTAAGTGGGGCCTGGATGGACCTTCTTTAAGACCCCCATCTGGCTCCAGCATTAGGCACTCGTGGACTGAGGGAACAGCGCTCAAATGGCCTTAGGGACAGGGCTTGGCTGGGGATCCCACCCCTGGACTGGCAACATCCCAACCTACCTTTAATTAACCCAACGAGTTTCATGAAATTCTTCTCCCCAGATACTCTCTACTCTCAAGATAACACGTTGTAAATTCACTGACATGTTCAAAGTAAACATACGAAAGGCCAAACGTGGAGGGAGGAGATGGGTGGGAAAGTCAAAAAGTCAGAAAGGTTGGGGCTCACCAGCACTTTGGAGTATGTGGGGACCGCGTGCTGGCCTGGGGCAGAAGTCCCTGTCCCTGCAAGAGCATTGGGAGAATGGAGGGGGTAAAGCAGGCAAAATGTTTTAACTCGGGGTCTGACACAGGCTAAGTGTCCAGGGAGTGAGAGCTACTGCTAATGCTGTGCAAATACATCATTCACGTGTCCCAAGTGTACCCCCACAACAACAGTGCTGAGTTTTAAGGGACAAGTCATTCCGGAGTAGGGTTTGCCAAGGATAACCCACAAATGGTCCCTGGGGACTAAATTAAGATAATCATTCCTGGTGAGAGTTATTGACTTATAGCAGCCGTCTCAAACACACATGCACAAGACAAGATCTGGGTCTGAATTGTGCTTACCGTGTTATTAAATGTCACCTGACACAGAGGGGCCCTGCTGCCACCCTTCATGAACACGCATATGCATATGTGAACACACACACACACACACACACACACATGCACATGCGCTCATACACACAGAGTCAGGTTGCCTTTCCCGGTCTAGAAACACAACCCTGTGGTCTCAGTGCCCCGGGTCCATGCCAAAGTTCTGAGCACTGCCCGAGTCCAGCCCCTGAGAGGGGAAAGAAATATAACCCAGCGTTGACCACACGTCCCTCTCAAACCCTGCTCGGCTTTTCAGGGACATCCCCCTACCCTGTCGGAAGAAACTCCTTTATTCAAATTCTAATCATTGAGCTCCTACTTTGTGTCAGGAACCCCAATCTTTGAGGCACTCTCATTCTAGAAGGGGAGTAGGGTGGAAGCAAACACCTCTAACAGGAGAAATGCCACAGGAGAGGTGTGTGCAAAATGCTAGACACGGGGAGAGGGCAAGAGTCAGGTTAGGGAAGACTTCATGGAAGAAGTAACATCTCAACAGAGCTTGGAAGGGTGCACAGGCATTCCAGCTGGAAATGGGAATTAGGGGGAAGGGTATTCTGGGCTGAGGAAAGATCATAGGCAGAGGCAGGGAATGGCACGATACGGTGAGGAAATGCTGGGCAGTCCTGGACTACCAGCCCCCTAGCCACATGGAGCAGAAAGCAGGTACGGCAGGCTGGGCCTGATTATGAGGGGTCTCTATTCTAAATGCAGGGGTGGCAGGTCCTCCTTAGAAAGACCATGCTGACAAAGGGGAAGGGATTATGGGGGGTAGATTGAGCAATTGGGAAGGGAGCCTCTAAGGAGGTCACGCCCAGGTGAAAGAGGGAAATGGGCCTCAGGTAGGTCATGGGCTTTAAGGACAGACAGCAGGGGAAAGCAGAGGTAGAGAAGCCAGCAGGAGGGAGGTCTCCGCCGTCCTGCTCGGCCAGGATGGCAGCTCTGAATCACCCCGCCATCATCCAGCTCAGCCAGGCTCTACCAGACCTCGGGAGGGGTGGTGGTGACACCACCAGCCTCCAATCTTTCCGGCATTTCCACGTTGGTTCAGACAGGCTAAGGCTGGAGCTGAGAGGGAGAGTGACCAAAACCCTGGGAGCTGGGACTGCTCTCTCCGTCCTTTGCTCTGAGCATTCCCTCTGCCCAGAATATTCCCTCCCAGACCGCCGCCTGGCTCCCTCCTCCCCCAGTCAGGTTTCTACTTGGGATTTCCCTGGCTCAGTGGGGTCCACACGGACACCTGCGCTCTCAGCACCCTGCCTCCCCTCCTCCAGCTCTGTCCATTCCTGGGCACCTACAACAATGCCCAGCATACAGTAGTGCCCCCCAAATATTCACTGAATAAATGCATGAAAATATCCAGTGACTCCATTTCCTACCACGAAGGGAAAACTCAACAGTGTGGCATCCAAGTCCTGAAGCATTATGGGCCCAGCCCACTTTTCTGGCCTCATCCTCTCCCTCCACCAAGGCCTAGTTCCTCGAGAAGCTGCCTTTTTTGGCACTTCCTAAACATCCCATAATGCTGTCCGTCGTTCATCTCTCCCTCTCCGGCTCTCCCTGTCTTCTGGAGCCCGTCTCCAGTGTCCCTTCTTTTCTGGGGCTTTGCTGACCTTCCTGATGGGATGGGACCTCTCCTTCCTGCAACCCCCAGAGTGCTAGCTGTTCCGCTCCTTCCTGGCTCTTCCTGCACTCTGCCCACCGTAGATCAAGAATTCCAGTCTAATGTTCCTGTGCCCCAGGAGTTCATGAAGGTAGGGATGGAGGTCCCCGAGCTCTTTCATTATCTCAAAAAGGCTAAAGAAACAGATGCATTGGCAGACCTTGCGCAATTTGCAATGATAAGGCTGAGGAGACTAACTAGTACATCAAGTCTCTGCTTTGGGCTGGAATTATACCAACGTGGCAACAGTGGTTATCTCCTGCTGATAAGACACTGTGCCAAGCCGGGAAATATGCTTGTGATTCGTTAAAAGGGGAGGGCGAGGGGAGAGGAACAAACTAATTATTGCTTAATATATGTAGTTGGGGTAATTGACAAATCTTCTAAAACCTGAGGTCTTCACAGGGGAGGAAGACGATGACCTTGGCCATGAATGCACTTGACCTGTGCCATCTACTAAATTATAACCTCTTTGAGGCTAGAGACCAAGTCTTACTCATCTTTGTGTGTCCAGGAATAAGCACAGTGCCTGACCCATGGGGAGAAAGGTTTGGTAACTGTTGATGAGAATTGAATCAAATAAAAAAGGCAGATGGTCCCTTGCTCTATAGATTGAGAACTTTCTTTTTGACCATCTGGAAATGAAGAAACAGGCAATAAAAACCTACTGAGATTCGGGTATCTGCTGGGGGGGGCACGCATGTTATATGGGTATCTACTGCAGGGGTGCGTTTTATAACAATAGATGCCAAGCGAGATAGGCTGTCGTGAAAGAGTAGGGGCCACCATGGTGGACTGGATCTAGCCCCCTGCTGGGCTTCTCCCCCACCCCCCACCTCCCGAGTCAGAAGGTCCCCTTCCCTGGGCCAGGCACAGCCACTTTGGCTGACCGGGTGCCCCTGGAAGAGGCAGCCACAAAACTGTGGTGTCTCTCTACTCCATCCCTCTTCCCCAGCTGCTCTGGAACTCATCAAATATCATTTCCATATGAAACAGCAACTTGCGTTTAATTACACTGTCATAAATTGGCCTCGGTGCTGTGATTAGAGCTCCCATCTTGCGTTCCCTGGGAAACCTGGGTGCGCCTGGAGCTGGAGGAGGCACCCTGGGGAGCTGCAGCTGGGAGGCCCGGGACCACCCCGCTTACCAGGATGGTGGTGACAACCAGGGTGGTGTTGAAGAGACTGTCGGAGAGGTTGGAGGCGTAGAGGCGGCTGTCCATGCTGAGCCCGTCCGCCACGTGCCACTGGCCGATCTGAGGAGACACAGGAGAGAGGTCTGGGAAGAGACGGGGTTAGGAGGCGGCTGGGGAGCAGGGTTGCTGAGGTCATGTGCGGGCCTCCAGTGTTGCAAGGAGCCGAAAGGCCAGTCTCCTGCCTCTGGCTGGGGCCACACAGAAGCCGTAGAAGGAGGCAGGGATATGGAGTATGGAGAGGGGCTGGACGAAGGCAGGTTACTGTTTCATAGGGTTGAGGGGGTCAGAGAAGATGGGGGGGACTGAGAAAGGAAGGAGAGACAGGGGTAATGACCCAGGAGAGGTGAAAGAGGAAAGCAGAAAAATCAAGAACGGAATGCATTGCAGAGATGTTCACTCACACGGAAGGGAATGAGACATGGGGAAGCATATTATCTTGAGTCAGGAAGGAGCCACAAAGCTCTTTTGTTTCAGCCTACCATCAGTAATTCTGATTACCTAAATAAGAATCAGAACAGTATAGTGGAGAGAACCGGCATATACTTGGCCCTTCAGTGAATGTTGCTTTAGTGGTTCAATAGGTGAATGAACCGGAAGTGGGAAGACCCGGGTTCTCATCCTGGTTGATTCACTTACTAGCTGTGAGAACCTAGGCAAGTTACTTAAATCTCTAATTATGAATCACGGTTTCCCCATCTGTCAGTGGGGGTGGTAATGTTTGCCCTCAGAGCCAACCGAGATCCTGGATGCACCAGTTTGATGCTAGATTATTCAGCCCGGCCCAGGAGCATGGGTCTCAAATGCATAACCTCCAAAAATTGACTGACCCTCTCTGAGCATGTCTCCTCATCTATAAAATGTGAATAATCACAGAAATATCATTGGGTCCTTGTGAGAAAGTATTTGACACTATTTTCCTTCCTCTTCCCCATTGTCTTCAAGGGGAAAAAAATGCACAATTGACTCAGTTCTCCATTCTAGAAAGTCGCCTATACTTAAACTCAACCTCATTGGGTTTTTAGATGGTTTGTTTTCTCAGTGGAACCCCTTTTATAAATACGCACACCTGTGTGTGTGTGTGTGTGTGTGTGTGTGTGTGTATGTGTGTGATACCAATATATTTCTACTAGCCAAAGCCCCTGGCAAATTGTTTCTGTTGCTGAGTGTTGGAGGTGGGCAGCCAGGAGACATGGCCGACAGCTGGTTGGAAACCCAATGAAATGCACACATCCACCTCTGCCAGGCACCTCCAGGCACCAGCAGCAGCTTCCCTGGAAAACCCTCCAAAGTTCCATGGATTCACCAGAGCTGCGCTCCGGGTTCTTCTTGTGGAAAATCGAACAACAATGAAGACATATCTCACCCTTGGCCCCTGCCCCCACCCAGTAGGGCAAGAGGGTGGTGGGTGTTGGGGAGCAGCAACCCTCTCTCTGTCATCATGGTCTGCAGCTTGAAGCGGGGGAGAGCCAAGCTGTGATGGTCTCATAGGTGAGCCTTTCATCTGCCAAAGGGGAGATGACCCCAAACTCCCCTCCAAGCCCCTATGAGGATGCCACTTGGAGAGCGGTGGGCAGCTTTCTCCACCTCTGCAAGGGCAGAAGGGTCCTGGACATATACTCATTCATTTCTAGTTTACAAGCAGAGTCTCACGCATATCCACATGGGAGGCCCCATTTGACAGATAAACAAACTGATGCTGAGATAAGAGTCCCTCCGCCTTGCGCTAGGGTCGCCTCACCCATCAGCTGAGTAGAGGCCCGAGCTTCAGCCCCAGATGCATCTTCCCAAGGAAGTCTTCATGGCCATCATGTCCGGCTCTTCCAGTGTCCTACTGGACCTTTTAGTTTGCCTGTCTTGCCCACTAGCCTGTGTGGGGCTGGCCGGTTTACGCTCACACCCCAGCATCTTGCTTGGGGGCTGGTACTTGGAAGCAGAGGAAGCCAGCATTTCATATCAGCAGATTGTGCTGCTGGTGGAGTGTGGGCAGAAGGCAAGTGAGCCCCCTCTAGCTCTCTGGAGCACCTGCTGCTTCTGGAAGGGGCCAGCCACGTCAGCTTGGTGCTGGAGCCCCCCCCCCCCCCCCTGCCTCTCTCTGCAGGGGCTATTGGGCGGGAAGGATGATTTTCAAGCACAGAGTGGAAGGGGACAATAGTGATGAGACACCTGCTGGGCTAGATGTGTTCTATCATCTCAATGAACTCTCTCCCCAGCTTTGTGGAGAGCGCTGACATTTTGATTTATGAGGAAACCAAGGCTCAGAGAGATTTAGCGGCTTGCCTAAGGTCGCCCACCTAGTAGTGGCGCACAGGCTTGAACCTGGAGTTGTCTGACTCCTAAAATGAGACTTTCCTGTCTCTGCTGCTGTCTCTTGGGCGGGGATGTCAACATGGGCTCCATGAGAGCAGGCCTGGAGAACCAGAGAAAGCAAGAACCCAGGACAGCCTTTCTGTCTTGGGTTTTTATGCTCCATTTCCAATGTCAAGTGAGATGACTCTTCTCTTGGAGGCTCATTTCCCTGTCTTCAAAATGGCTAGAATTGGCTCCCAGTGGTCTCTTAGGGTGGGAAGGGCCAGATTTAGATAGAAGGACATAAAGAACAATTGGGCTGGATGTCAGCATTTGGACGTGTGAGACAAGGACTGAACTTCTTAGAGTCCCATCTGTCACCTCAATGTGTATTTCCCACCAGAAGGGCCAGCAAGACCTCAGCTCCGCCCACCCCCACTTTCCCACCTCTGCTCTTCTCAGGGGACCCGATCTTCACTACCCACCTGCCCCAGCCCCAGACTCCCTGATCTTACCCAAGCCATCAGATAGGTTCCCACAAAAGCCAGGGATAGAAATGATTTACCCGGAGCCAGATCTGACAGTCTGAGCAATGTGTCACCCCCGCTCCCGCCAACCTCTGGGGACACAGCAAAGAGACAAATTAGCCCCTAAGCTCTAGTCAGGAAATGAATCTCCCACCCACCCTCCCATTAGCCCCCAAGAAATTAATAAACTCATCAGATGCAACAAAGTGGCTTGGCAGCTATCACCCAGCGCAATCTAACTGCAGAAAGGCGGTGGGAGGGAAAGTGAGAGACAGAGCCGGGCGCCCTGGGATACGGGCCAATTGCCCCACCCACTGGGCACCTTCCACCCCACACACATGCCAGGGCTGGGCAGGAGACACAGCTCTCGTCGCTGACAATCTGTTGCTCTGCCTCCAGCCAGATTCCCTTGCTCCACCCTGCTGACGCCCGCCCCCCAAACTTCCCGCAGGAACAGCTGTTTTGTCAGCGTTTTCCACATGCCCTCATGCGCCGGCCTGATCACATTCAAATGATGGCTTCCCATGGCCCTCTTTCTATACTTTCTGTCTCTCCCGCTTGCTCTGCCTTTGCACCATGTCCATGGATTTGGACGACACCGTGATAGCCTCGACAACACCTTAATGCAGGTAAGAAAAAGGCACCCTCCGCCTGGGCCGATGTGGCTGCGCAGGTGCACGGCTGGCCGTGCTGGATTCCATCCTGTCCTTGCCCTTGAGCTCTGCACCATCTGCACCATGAATGCAGTGGCCCCAGAGTAGGAGGACCTGAGTTTAACGTGGCTTCTCTGTTGATGAGCTGTGTGACCTTGGGGAAGTTGCTCAATCCCCCTGAGCCTCAGTTTCCTCCATCTACAAAATGGGGGTGACAATAGTGATTATCACCTCACAGACTACTTAACGAGACTAAAGGAGATGGTACGTGTGTGAGCACTATGCAAGCATTCATTAATTTACTTTTTAATGCCATGGTCTGAGACAGAAGGTGGGATCTCTCCCGTGCCCCCACTGCGGGCTTTACCAACCCAAGTCACAGAGCTGGTAAATGGAAAAAAAACAGGACTCAAGACAAGGCCAAATGTGCCGCTTCACGGAGATCATAATATTTAAAATGAATGTGTACTTCTCCTCACAACTGATTCTGACGCTCCTGGGAGAAACATCTCGTGATCGGAGTGTTTCGTCAAATGTGGACATGTCTGTAAATAAATGATACAGGATGTGTCTGCGTGTATGCAGAAGGTATCCTTCATCCAACATTCCTAAAGGATGCAGGATTTATGTTAATTTGTGTTAACATGAATTAATAATAATCTTGCTCCTTAAGCACTAAAATTTTGGAGATTTTATTTATCTGAAAGCATTGTTCCCAAAAATTCTTTCAAAGAGAATTACACGTTCCACGGTCCTCTTAAACGGAGGGAGAGTCTTGACCTTAATTCAGTATCATCGTTGTGAAGGCAGTGCTCTGATACAATCTTGCTATCCGTTACCACAATGTGGATGGCCACTCGCCTTCATTTCTGCGCTTTGATAAGTTAATTTGTCCACTTCTCAGAGCATCTCTCCTCCTCGCGAGCTGTCACTCGGGACTGCCTTCAGGGTAGCTGAGTCTAACCCCTGGGCGAGGAACCAAGGGACCAAGCTCCAAAGAACTGCCGTTAAGGAGAACACAGATGTGGCCGGATGGGATGTCGGGGCTCCAGCGAATGGATTCCGGGGCATCAATACAGACTACCCACAGTCCTTTGCAAAGGCCGTTGCTGAACAACTGAAGGAGTGCCCGAGGCCTGCATTTAATCTGGGTGTGACCCTGGGTCAGTGTAAGCAAGCTGGTCACTCCCTCAGTAATCCGCCTTGGGAAATGCTTATCCAGGGCCACGACCCCAGGGGTCCCCTGCTGCTTCCTGAAAGAGCTGGTAGCGTCTCACGTGGGGTGGAGAGGGCCGTGTCAGCATCTATAGTGTGGCCACGGGGCCCAGGGGCCCTGAGCAAGTCAGCAAACTTCCCTGAGTCCCCCCCTCCCTGGCCTCCACTCTCTTCCAGGTTCCCACTGAGCTCCCCCTGGACAAAGTGACACTCTGGCCCTTTGTTCTGTTTTCCACCCAGCAGTGGGCAGTCTATCTCGACACAATCTCCAATATGACCCCACTAGCCCCCGGCTTAAAACCCTGCAATTCCTCCCATTTGGGTTTAAGGACAGAGATCCTTCCCACAGCCTATCAGGCCCTGCAAGGCGGGCCTCTGC